GGGTGGGAGCGGGGAGGGGAGAAACAGCCCCTTTCACTACCTGGGGAAAGCTGGGAGCAAAGTGGGATGTTTCTCCTACAAGCTGAGGTCTATAAAAAGCGACGCTATTTACCTTGGTGTTTTGAGAAGGAAGGAAAACACCCCATGGCTTTTTACAGTCGCTGCTCATTTCTCTTTTCTTTCCACCTCGTTGGTCTGAACGCACTTGCACGTTTGCACAGCCTTGCCTATTTGGGTAAATGCCTCTTCAGCTCCCCAGGAGCAGCTGCCTTCCTCCTCCCACCCCACCCAGGCATTCAGGAGGGGGTCCTGGGCCCTGGGAGCCTGTCCCTGTCCCAGCCGGGTCCAAGCTCAGGGCCAGGCCAGCAGAGGCCCTCAGGGCTGCGTCCCCACCGCTCCACTGTCTCCCTCACTGCATGCTCGCAGGTGAGCAGCTGTGAAAAGTCCTCCTCTCCCGGACAGATGTGCCTGGCTCTGGGGGGCAGAGCGTTGCTTTTAGGGACTGACAAAGCAGGGTTTTGATAGCCCCAACTCCTTCGCTCTTTCCATACCCCCCAGGCCAGATATGATAATGAAATAAGATAATAAAATAATAAATGCCGGGCCCTTCCTCTTCCTTCTCACCCCTCCTAGCTCTTGGGAATCACAGACCATTAAAACTGGAAAGATCCCATCCATTATCATTCCACAGATGGGGAAACTGAGGCCCAGAGAGAAGGAGCGACAGGTTCACAGGCATATAACCAGAGACAGGAAGGAGAACACTCTCTCCCATTTCAATGTTCTTTCCCAAGTCAAAGAATTCGATAAACCCTGATCCATTGGTTTGTTTCTGAGGTTGAGCACTTCCTACTGTTTACTCAGGGCGCAGGAACTGTTACTTAAGAATTCAAAGAAGCCTTGCCGGCCTCAGTCTACTTGTGGAGGCTGCGGGTGCCTGGGTAAGGACAGAAAGCATTGTGGCAAAGGCGATGGGTTTGCAGTTTCCATCCACAATGTTTCTCTGGGTTCTGAGAATCAACTTATTTTTATAGCCTGGAGAGCCAGGGAGGAAGAAGCCCTCTTAGGGTGAAATATAACAATGAGTGATATTTAAGGAGCTCTTTGGCCTCCAAAGGATTGCAACAGACTTTGCACAACAGAGGCTAGAGACAGTGGGCGCAAAGCAATGTGGGTGTTGCAACCACCTTTTGTGTCCTCTGGGGCAGCAGGGGCGTGGGAAAGGCCGATGTTGCCCTCCCACCCCTCTTTCTGCTCCCTGCTCCCAGGTACACATAGCAGGGCTGCATTGCCCTTCAGAGGGCCTCACTCTGGAGGAGCCCACTGAGACCCCAACTCTCTCTCCTTCTGGATCTCATTAAATAAACATGAGTAGTGCTGGGTGATGCTGGACCAGTTCTTCCCCTTTGGGTGCCCTGGAATTCTAGAGGGTACAGAAGTTTGGGCATTTTTACGTACTAGATCATCTCCCAGGCTTCTTCCAGCCCCCAACTCTGAGAACTCAGTGCAGAATTCTGTGCTGAAAAGCACCCCCGTCAAATGTCAAATGTCATATGGAGATAAATGTCCTTTGTTCATGCATTAGCTTTGCCTGGTGCCTGGCAGTTTACAGAAGCACCTCTATCTACAGTGTACTATTCAACCTCAAGACCACCCTATGGGGTAGATATTACCATCCAGTTTGTTCCAAAACAGAAAACTGTGACTTAGAAAAGTGAAGCAACATATTCGCGGACACACAGGCAGGAAGGGGTACATTCAGATCCAACAGGAGGTTCACCAAAGCTTCTCTTCCATCCAGGAAACACCTTCCCCTCTTAGCCCTAAACCAGGTTCATTAACAGATGACAGATCAAGGGCACTAAGGAAGTGATGTTATGTAGCTAAAAGACAGGCTCCTAGCCCACTGTGGGGTCTCAGGAGCTGGGCTTGGAGAAACAGAGATTTTACCAGTCCCTGAAATAGGCAGTGAGCTGGGATGAAAAAAGTAACAGTCCTCCTCTCTCCCCCTAAATTTCAGAGGGTTATGCCTCCTTAGGACGCAGGATATTCTAGTACTTCAGAGCTGAAAGCGAGCTAATCCACCTACCCTGTGTTCAAATGAGGATGTTGAAGCCCAGAGAGAGAAAGTGATGTTCCCAGGGTCACCCTGCAAGCCACTGTCAGCTGTGGGACTGCAACCAGGTGAAAGAGGTTCCCTTTCCACTCCCCAGCCCTGCTGAACCTTCCTCTCTCAAATGCAGGTCCAAAGGCAGCACCGACCAGAGCCCAGAAATTGGGGAAGAGAGACACACAGCCGAGATTTTCACAGCAACACACATGGCTATCCCACCCCAGTCCCAGAATTCCTCCACCGCCACTTGGTGAGAGAATGGCCCAGGCTGGGCAGACCCAGGGTGCCTTACCTCTGCTCCGCAGAGCTGTAGGTCTCCCCTCTCTGGCAGCTGCTCAGGGTGACGGGGTCAAAGCTGTCGAAGGAGCGGAGGGCCACCCCCGAGATGGCGACCAGGGGTGAACTGAAGCTCACACGGACCGCCTGGCTGTGGTAGAAGGGCTGGCTGAGGTCATGGACCACAGGGATAATCAGGGGATTGTTCCTGCAGCTCAGGACATGGAGGCCTGTCAGGGGAGACAGAGGGCCGGGGGGCCAGGCTCATTACTCAAGGCCAGTCACGCCCTCCCCAACGGGCCCTTCCAGAAGCCCCCAGACCCTTTCATGTCACTGCACAAAAGCGCCATTGGGTGGCCAGCGGGGATTTTGAGTTTGATTGAAAGTTTCTTTGTCTGCCTTTTTCTCTTGGTTCCAAATCTTCCCAACCCCTTTGCCTCCCTGCCCCCTAAGCTTTCCCTTCACCTATCGCCCAGGGCCCCTCTCCTCCCGCAAAGGGCCACCCCTCAGCCAAGCATCACTGGCCGGCCCTCTCCTCCCTCCCACATTGCACTAGGGCCTCATGGTCCGAGTTGCCAGTTTTCAGGCTGCCTTCCAGAAACAATTCACAGCAACAGGCCATTCAGGGGTGGGGGAGCTATTCTCATTCTAAATCTAGGGACTTGGGAGCAGCCCTGTGATTAGGAAAGGGACTCTGTGACCATTCTGTGGACAGGAGACGGAACCCTGAGCAGGAAGTGGCCTTCCAGAGGGACACAGAATAGCCAGTGACATAAAGCCCAAGTAGAATGCAGTAGGGAGCAGGTCTCCAGGCTTCAGGAAGAAAGGCAGAGGGGCAGGGAGGGTGCAGGGAGACAGGGCACATCCAGAAGAAGAGGGAAGGGAGTGATAGGCAGGATGCAATGGGTAAAACAAAGCCCATTTTGGTGTTGGTGGAACTTGGCTGATTCTTGCTTTAGCCATTTCCCTATTATGTGACTCCAGCAAACCTTAACTCTCAGTTTCTGTATCTAGAAAATGGGATGACCTGAACCATGTTGGGCAGGCCTGCCAGATTGGGACGTGAAATCCCCTGCCCAGCAGCCCCCTTAAACGGTCCACTCTCTTAGAGCTGGGCAGCGTCTACAGGGGAAATCAGGATTCTGAAGACTGAGGACAGGGGCCCAGTGGAGAGGGACAGGGACATGTGAAAGTTTCAGGCATCAATTAGCAGGATCCAAAGAGCTCCCCGGGAACCGGACTGCTCCCCGCTCCCTCAGCTGAAACCCTCTGCTCCGAGCCGGGCTGTGGTCAGATCTCCCGGGCCAGCTATGAAAATATTTGCTTCCCACTTAGGGAAATTTACCAGGAATCCAGATAAGTCCAGAGGGGTTTTCTCTCTCTTCCTTATTAGGCTGTCCCCCCTTGCCTTGAAAACTAACTAAATAAGTAAACATGAAAACAAAACCAAAAAGCCCTCGCTGCTCCCCTGGCTTCTGCCTGACCCTGGGATGACCCGTCGCCGGCCTGCTTCCTAGGGGTCTTTGAAATGAGCTCCCTGTGGAATGGCGTGGGCACGGCCTTGGGGCCTGGGCTGCGGGGCGGGCCTGGGCTTCCGAGCACCTGGAATGGCCTCACCGGGAACGTGGAAGCAGGTGACAGCACTTCCTGGTGCCAGGTCCTGTGCTAGGCACCGGTCATCGCCATCTCAAGGCGTATCTCATTTAATGTGTCACTCAGACTATAAAATGGCACCATTGTCCCGAAGCGCATGGGAGGGAAGGCAGAACTCCTAATGAGGCACAGAGATGGAGAAAGTTGCTCACATTTTCCAGGTGCGTGAGTGGCGGGGCAGGGATTCAAACCTTGCCTATCAGCTCTGGAGCTGGGGCTCTTTCCCGTGTCCCATGGCTCATGAGGGTATGCAGAGGTGGGACCGGGGTACAAGTGAACTCCAGCCCTTGTTCTGGGGCATCTGGCTCCTCACCTGAATCGGACCTTTGTTGGTTCTTACTCTCGTGGAAAAGTCCGGAGCTCATGCTGGACACACAGTGGGCACTCTGGGAGCTTTCACAGCACCTCTGGCTATAGGGTCAAGAGCTACTGCCCTGTGACCCAGGGTCCCACATGTACAGTGGGAACCGGCCTTGGCTCAGTCTCCCCCCCCATGGTCTTTGGAGGGTCATGTGGGATGGGATGCTGAGGTTAGATAAAGGTGACTGGCAGAAGGAAGCCACTGAAGTGAAGGGAGGACTTTCACGCTGACCCTCATCCCTGTACCTGTCAGATTCAGGCTCCTCTCGACACACAGACACATCCTGACTTGAAGGCATCAGAATGCCACATTGAGAACATAGAGGAAAGGGGAAGGAAGAGCCCAATCTCAGCTGACCCTCATGACGACGCGTGGGCAATTGTGGGACCAGGTCCCGACAGCAAGTCAGGCCCGAGGGGACTTGCTCACCGAGATCGTGACTCTGATCTTTGGTATCAAGCAGCTGGACACTGATGGTTTCCTGCTTTTGGTCTCCGTAATAGGTGCCATCGGTCACCAGGTGGACAATGACAGCTGCAGCAACCATTGGCTGAGAAAAGTACGCCTGAAATGCATATGACATAAGAGGGTCACTCATGTCCTGTCTCCTGGTGGGGAAGCAGCCACAGGGTAGGAGTCTCAAAGAGAACCTTCTATCTCGGGGACTGGATTACTCATCATGGCTCCATCATGGGAACAGGGAGGCAGGGAAACCTCACAGTGAAGAGCACAGGCTCTGAGATCAGAAACTCTGCTCCTATTGCAGCTCTGCTCCTCCCGAGATGCCCCCGCGGATGCTCCGTGGTGGCTGTGCCGCTCTGGGCCTACGTTCCCTCATCTCTAAGTGGTGGATTAAGTGAAGATCTGTATGGCAGGGTGGCTGTTAGTCTCAGTAAGATAATGGGAGTCAAGTGTCTGGCACATACTTATACCATAAAAAACGGTTCTGTTATTATTTGTCACTTCTCCATACCAACCTCAGGACTAGGCACTGAGGAGACAACATGAAGTAAGACACGGTCCTTGCATTTCTGCAGACTATGGAGTTCGATGTAGGTCAGTGCCATGCACATCAAAATGCAATAGGATCACAGTCCTCTGCAAGATGGGCTCATAGACTACTATGTAATACCATGTGACAAGTGCCATCTGACATGTGACCAAACACATGCAGGACTAGAGGGGAGAGAAGAGTCGCTTCTCTCTGGGGGAGATCACTAAACACTTCATGGAAGAGATCATTTTAAAAGGTCTGGAACAATGCATAGGAAGATCCAGGCAGGCAAAGGTATCCAAACTCTGCCAAGACAAGAATGACTTGGGGGTGGTATTTCACAAGCAATTAAGGAATCCCATTTTGGAAAGCATCCCATCGCTAAGTGCTTTGTCCCCTGTCCTTCCAATGAGCACCCTCAGTGGGTACAGAAACCACCTTGAGAAAGGGTCCTGGGAGGCACTGCTTCCTGGGGGCCACTGGGGATTCTAGGCTCTCAGAGCTTCGGCTTACCCGGAGCCAGAAGGTGGTCTGCGTCAGCTGGGAGTAGGGGTAGCTGATGGTGCAAGGGTACCAGGCGTGCTGGGAAATGCCTTCACTGAGGTCGATCACCTTGGTTCGGCACGCCTGGGGAAAGATAAAGAAAAACAAGCGTTGTGGAGGGTTGCAGAGGTGGAATTAAATTCAAATCGATAAACCGAGATTTGTTCTTGGCCCCGCAGGAAGAGCCGGGGGTGAAGAGATAAGAGTCTGTTCCAGGAGTCCGTGTTCTCCCCTGGGAGGCAAGCCCTCGGTGCGGTCAAGGACGAACAGACAACGTGTTCTGGTGGGAGAGCTGACAGAGTAGTTCTTACGGGGACAAGTCCTACAGGAGCTGACATCTGCGCTGGGTCTGGAAGAAGAGGGCAGAGATAAGGGGAAGGGCCTTGTAGGTAGAGGGAACAGAAGCAGAGGCTCAGAGGAAAGCAGAAACCCAGAAGGGTCATGTTGTGATAAGCTGCCTGGTATTGTTCGAGTCTGGGGGAAAGTGGCAGAAAAGGCAGGCTGAAGGGTTGGACACCAGAGGCTCCTGCACACCAACCAGAGCACTTTAGAATCAATCTGTAAACTGTGCTCAGAGCCATATTCACAACAGAGCAAGATTACCTTAGTATGAGCATTTGCTTACCCCAAAGGAAATCAGATCCACCACTTCACGTAATATATGCAAACATCTATACACACAAATACAAACACGTACACACACACTCGTTCTCAATGACAGATATACGAAGTGGCATTCAAAGAAACACAGTGCACGTATAAACAAGTGGAATCCTTCAGACGTAAGGGTTTTGCCTGTATCCAAATGTCATTTCATTCACCGGTTCATCCATTCAAATAATACTTATTGAGTAACTGCTCTTTGCCAAGCACTGTGAAGACAAGACAGTGGATAAAACAGATGGTGAGGAGCTCAGAGTGACAATATGCGCAGATGTCCATCAAGTAATCGCAAAGGTGTACACAACTGTAAACTGTAGAGCAGGAAAGGGCTATGATTTAAGAGCTGAGTCGTCCTCGTGATTGGCCAGAACGTTTGCAGAAGTTCATCCCAAATCAGTGCTTTTCCTCTGAAGTGGCTCCTCTCTCAAAACCGCCCTGGGAATCTGGGCCCATCATTCCACATCGGCAGGTCTCAGTCTGCTGATCTAAGCAGTAAGGCTGGCCTGCAGAGGATCGAGATCCTCAAGGGTCAAGAATATCCACTCCATCAATATCTACAATAGCAAAAGACTGGAAACAGTCTACACGCTCATCAGTTAGGGAAGATGCGTAAAATACGACAGAGTCACTTGGTGGGATTCTATGGGCAAAAGAATATTGAGAGGACTGGATGAGACCCACGTGCAAGACCTAAGTGGGTAAGTACATTTTGATGCCATTTATACAAATCACACAAAGCAAGACTACACCCAGGGATTCATACAAATGAGCACAGAAGTAAAAATGGAGTGGAAGGGTTATACATTAAAATCACTAAATCAAACTCAAGATAATACTTGGCCGCATTGTAATCTACAATCGCAAGCATCAATGTTTGTTCGTTTGGTTTTTTAATAAAAATAACCTTTTCCTTTCGGAGTAATTTTTATTTATGGAAAAGCTGCCAAGGTACTACTGGGAGTTCCCTATGCCCTTCATCCAGTTTCCCTTAACATTACTCGGTCCATTCTTGAGGCCTCAAATAAAGGAAGTAAGTTGCTTAACCAACTTTGGAGAATCACACATTGTCACCCACGAGCTCTGCAGTGGTGAGCTGGCTCTGGATGAGGGAAACCTGGTTCTGGTCCAAGCTCCCCAACATCTGATGTGTAATCGTAGACTAGTTACCTGACCCCTTTGGGCCCTGGGTTTATCTTTCACCTTTGAATATTGGATCACGTCCTGGGTTCTCAAGGTATCACCTATGAATTCCTAGGGTCCCTTGGAGGTGTCAGCCTGGGGGTCAGGTTGAGGGGAAAACCTGTGTAGCTTCTGCTCCACCGTTTCAACCAGGGCATCATCTGAGTATCATCCATTTTAGATATCGAGAGGCCTTGCAATTTTCATTTAAGAAAAAAGCCTGGCTGCTTTAAAAACACTGAAAAGTATTGAACTGTGTTCATCGCCAAAGTTTCCCACCCTCCCTCTCCATCCGTGGATCCTGGAAATACACTGTGGCTTCCTGAATGTTACAGGTAACTTCTTAAGGACAGTAAAGGTCCCAAGGATCAACCATCTCATTGGCCAGGGATCAGGTGATGGCTTCAGGTATTCAGGTCTCTAGAAGCCTAACACCCAGGGGACTACGGGAAAAACACAGCCCCATTAATGGGCTGGAAGACGTTTTCAAGTTTATTTATTTTTCTCAAAAACAACTGGGACCCAGCTTAGGCAGCTCTGCCAGTGGATTGTGTTACGTTTTACAACAGTGCGAGACTTTGCATAAACTATCTATGGCATTCGGAATCCGGGCCAGCAATTCACGTGTTTCATTCTGGAATTCCTTCCCCTTGTGTTCTTAGCCGCCTGTCCCCAGCAGAGCGCGGCGGAGCACATCTCTGGAGGGCCGCAGGGTGTGCCTGTTGGGGGGTGCTTATTCCCCATCTAAAGCATTCACGGTCAGAGAATCTCCCACACGCACGGAGCCTTCTTCCTGCTTCCACACAATTTCCTCTTATCTCATCGGCCCTATCAGCACTAGACAGGGCTTTAGAAGAGCATGCTGCTGTAATTTTATTCTGTTTTCCTATTTAGTTTCGTGTTTGTTTCAAGCTGGCTGGGATCCTGACCAGGGACAGTCAAAGCAGATCAGAGAGGAACCAACAAATCCAGCTGAACCTTTGCCCAAAGCCCTTGCTGATCTTACAACCATCTCTGTTCCTGGGGAGCTGGGGGGAGGCTGCAGGGGGGCAAACACTCCCAAGCCTCCTGCTTTGATAGGACCTGGCATGAATCTGCTCATGCAGCAGCCCCTTACTGAGGGTGCCTTGCCCACAGCCATAAGGCTGGTCACTAAGGATGCAAGTGTGATCCCAAGGTAACTAATTCTATGGGGATGCTCTGTTTTCATCCACCTGCTTCTTTGCACTTTCCCAAAAAAAGTATCTGGCTGCACTTTCCCCTGTTCTTCCTGGGAACTTGAATACAGGTTCACTACTGAGATTATTCCTTTTTCAGTGGCCAAGGGAGGTAGGTGTTTAGCACAGGAAGTAAGCAGCAAAAATGTTATGAAAATGCAAAATTCGATGCCCTTTACTCACCTATGTTCCGCACCCTCACAATTCTACCTTTGTTGGGTAGAACCATCTCCAGTGAGAGTTCTCCCTCTTCCTCCAAGAATTCATGGCACAAATAGCGGACAAGAATTCCAGTCCCCATGCCTCTCTCTTCTCCAAGAAACCCAGCCCTAGGTCTCTGATGGAGGCTGAGCAGGTCAGTGCCTCTTATCACCATCTTAGCACCTGTAGGAACCCAGGGGCAAGCAACCACTTTCCCCCCTTGGCTGTGAGGGGGGTCTCTTGTCTTTAGCAGAATCCCTTAGACCCTCCATCATCTGCAGAGATACCTGCTTACTTCAGTTACCACCCATGGGAACCAGGAGACGGGGGTCACTTCTGGCTGTGCCACTGGTTAGCTGGACATCGATTTTCCCATCTGTGAAATGTAGTGCTTGTATTAAATAATCTCTAAGTGCCCCGGCTGCTATAGGACACCCCCAGTAAATACATCCACCAGGGGTCTCAAGGTCACAGTATCAGTTCATCCTCACAATCACTCTGTGAGGTTGGAACCATCATCCCACTTTTCCGATGAGGAAATTAGGCACAGAGGCTTTAAGCAACTCTTTCCATCAAGTTGTGCATGCAACCTGATGCCTGTGATTTCATGTTCTATGTACTCAGTCACCGAGTACCACCTCTGTCGTTGTCTTGGTGAAAACCCCCGCTCCCTCTGACGGAGAAGAGAGCAAGCACCGATTTACCACTCTGCTGGCCACCAGCCGTTCCACACAGAACAATCAACTTTCCAAAGTGAAAAACCAATCATATCACCATGCTACTCAGGGCTCCCTCCATGGCTTCCCGTGGGCCATAGGATGGGAAGTGTCCTGGACACAGCTGTTTCAGCACCTCCCTGCCTTCTCTGCTGCCAGCTGTGCTCCCCCACGAGCAGCAGGCAGGTGTCCACATGTGTCCCCAGCGGTGCTCCCTTCTCACCGGATACCTCTTTCTCCCACATGCCGCGGACTCTGCCACCGTGATGCTTGCGCCCAGGCTTCTCCCTGCAACCCCCCAACTCCCCTCCACCGCACTGGACTGGCCATTCTGTGAAATAGTGCACACACTTCAAAGCCAGTCTCAAATATCACTCTTCCCCTGAAAGCTTTGGCTCACCCCCGGGCAGAATTAATTGCTCTCTCTTATGTGTCCACCTAGTTCTTTATATAGACATCAGTTACAGCACCTGTCAAGTTGGATTATGGTTGTTTAGAGCCCAGTCTTAGCCCTTTCAACTCTGAAGACTTCCAAGGTGAGAATCACGTTTTATTTATCTTCCAATAAATCTTAGCAGATTGCCCAGCACACAGGACGCCACGGTTGCCCCGTGAACGACAGTAACAACAGCAGAGCAGCAGCAGCCTGTACTGGGTGCCTGTCCTACGCTGGGCACTGCTGTAAGGACGCTATACCCCTCAATCATGCAATCCTCACGACAACTCTGTGGGCTAGGTGCTGTTATGATACCCATTCTATAGATCAGGACATTGAGGCCTGGTAATCTGCTTAAGGTCATAGAACTGATTAGTAGAACCAGGATTCAAATCCAGGTGCCAACTCAGCCCACTCTCTTACCCGAAGATGCTAGCTTGAAAGGGCCCGCCTGTCCTCTCGGGCTGCACTTGGGATTTCTCCTCGTTGCCTCCTCCTGCACTCCTGAGTAGAAGTTGCTTCAACAGACCAAAGCAGGCCCTTGTAGGTGTGCCCTGGGCAGGGCGATGTGGTCTCAAGAGCCCTGGGTGGCCAGCCAAGGGACCCACCTCCCAGAACTGACTCAGTCGCTTACTCCTGACACCCATCCTCCCCACCTGTAGAGGAGAGAGT